CTGTGGCTAGCTGCAGTGCCCAGTGAATTCCTCCTGTATAAGGCAAGCACTATTATGCATTTAAGCTGCTGCCTGAATGCCTTCACTGCCAACCCAGTTGCAAAAGGCTCCACTGATTCTCACCTGTTCTGAAGTTCTGCTACCAATGAAAGAGTTTCTCATCCCCTTTCTTCTCCGTAAGTATTTCTCGAAGTCAGCAGGACTTGAAAGCAGCTTAGGCCCAAACCAAGAGAGAAGACGATGTTGCTCAGTTGGTAGAGTGTTTACCTAGCACACACGGATTTAACACCCAGCACTCCCAGAAACTAGGCACACAAAAGACAACAGAAGGAGTTCAAGGTCAACCTGAGATAAGTTAGATCCGGCCTCAACTAAATAAGAAAGTGAATGAGAAGAATATGTTCTACATTCAACATCTCTGATGTAATTCTCAGTATCACTTAAAATTAGCATCAGGAGAAGGATAAGACATCTTAGACTTTATTAATACTTCTTTATGACAGAGGTAGGGTCTGAGACAGAACTGGGCCCTTGCATCTCAGGAGAGGGTACCTGGTCCCCCCACTGCCAGGAACAGTCCATGATGCCTGCCTATTTCCTCTGGGCCTTCCCCAGCTTCTCTGCCCCAGCCCCCAAACAAAAACAGGGTGATGAATTCGCTTCAAACTCTGCCAATGCAAACTGTGGCTTAAAAATGGAAATGAGCTGAAACCCCACACTAATACCTGCAAGGACATTAAAGCTTTGCATCCCTGTGTAAAACACGAGGCCCGGCCAGCATCAGTATGCTTTCAGTGGCTTAATGGTAAATGTTGAACAAATTAGTGTCCCCTTAAGGTTGTCCTGGGGCACATGGAGTCACAGTCTTTAATTTTAATGAGACTCTATTACACAATCTCTTATCGCCTCTTAACTGCCAGGAAAATGACCACCAGCTTAATGTTCAGCAAAATAACTCACTTGGACCTCAAGGAAATTACCTTGAAATTATTACACTTACCCGTGGCCGATGCACGGGGGTTCATTTGAGAAGAGGCGGCCACCTGGCACTTCCAGCACAAAAATACGTCCTTTCCTCGGGTTTTTCAGGTTTAGCTTTATCTGGCCTTACCTGATTTGAGGCATATTCTCTTTTGAATGTAAATATTTAAAATGCAGGTGACACTGAGTCCATTTCCCAATTGACAGGGCAAGGTAGGCAGTTGAGAAGACTGGACCTATGCTAGCTAGTTTTATGTCAACGTGACCCAGGCTATAGCCATTTGGGAAAAAGGAACCTCAACTGAAAAAAAAAAAAATCTTCAACAAATTGATCTGTATACATCCTTACATCTGATGGGTAGCCCTGTAGGATATTTGATTGATGTGGCAGGGACCAACTTACTGTGGGCAGTGCCATCCCTGAGCTGATGGTGTTGGTGCTTACAAGGAAGGAGGAGGAGCAAGCCACAAGGAGCAAGTCGCTAAGCAGCACTCCTCCAGGCCTCTGCAGCAGCTCCTGCTTCCATGTTCCTGCTGTGAGTGACTGCCTTTGATGATGGACATGGAAGCTGAAATAAGCCCTCTCCTCTCCAAGCTCATACTGTTTAGCCACAGCACTAGAAACCCTAACTAAGACAGTGCCTGTGGCTGGTCAGGCTGTCTCTGTAATCATTAGCAGGCTAAGAAGGTCAATCCCACCCCTCTTAGCAACACTAGACTTTTAAAAATATTGCCAGGGAAGTAAATATAGCACTATGTCATACTGAATAAAATCATATATGATGAGCCCAGCACAAAACCTCAGTCACCAAAATTGTTCAACAACTGCTGTTGTTGTTGCTGTTTTTCTGTTAGTGCCACAGCATCCCGTCGCCAGCAAAGACCTCTAGACACAGATTTTCTCCCGGACAAAACCAGATTTATCACACCTTGCTAAATAAAGGCACATCAGTCTGAGTGAGTCCAAAGAAGAGACAGAACCTACATGGCCCGCTAAACATAGGGCGTAAACATAAAAAGAGACTATGCTAAAGGGAGGGTAAAAGATATAGGCACCCCCAAAGCTGAAAAAGCATGTCCCAGGGAGAACAGATAGGGCAATTTCCAAATGCTGGGTGCTAGAGGTAAAACTTTGGCTCTCCACCCTGACCTGGGGAGTACGCTGTCTGGGACAGAGTTGTTACTAGATACACTGCTTGGGGAAGAGAACGTTCGCTCCGGTTTTGGGTTGCACAGGGTCATTCCTGCTCTTGTATCGACTTCCTACTACACTGTAACAACACACGGAAGAGCACAAATTTAGACACTTAAAGCCACATAGGTGGTTTTTCTTGCGGTCTGTAGGTAGTCTGGCGTCCTTGCCAATGGCTGATGCCAAGGGCTCAAAGGCGCCACCTTCTGACAGGACGCACCCTCGCATCCTTACATCTGATGGGTGCTGTACTTGTGTTCCTTCTGAAGGCCACAGTGGCTATTTCTTCCCACGTCTGTCAGGAGAACCAGTTCCTTCCCCTTGTTCAGCTTCCAGAAGCTGCCTGCATTTCTCAGCCCTTCCCTACATCACTCCTCCTTCTTGCTTTAGTGATTCTCCAAGGTCTGTGAGGATAGTTATAAATAATCTCCCCTCCTCTTACCCACATCTTCAGAGTTCCTCTTGCTGTGTTCAGGTCAGCAGAACTAGCCAGGGGATGACCCTGGGGTCACCATTCTGCCCACCACATCTCTGCTCTGAGGTTATTCCAGATTGGTCTTTGCCGGCCTGCCCTGGCCTTGGGAACCTGACGACACTTCCCCACAGAGAAGCTCTTTATCTCCAGACACCAGGGCCTTGCGACAGACCCTTGGCTTTCCTTCTGGGAGCTGTTTGTCCCCTTTCTGTCCTGCTCACAGCAACTCCTCCTCCTCACAGTTCTTACTGACCCGTCTACCTACAGCTTCCTTCTCAGCCACAAAGCACACAGGAGGGTGAGAGAGCAGGAGTATGAGGCAGGGGGATTCTCACTCCTGGTGGGAGAAGTGGCTTGCCTTCTCTTCTCTCCCATCATCCCTTCTTCACTAAAGACTTTCCTCCTGCTGCCTTCCAGCTTAACCTCGTGACTGTTGAAGATCAGCATTTGCTGTATTTTAATTGCAATAAAACACTTTCCTCACTGAGCAGGCAATATGGATTAGAATGAGTTAGCATCACCCTTAGATTTCTGTTCCATTTTATTGTTGTTGCTTTGTTTTGTTTTGTTTTTATTCTATTTGCTTTGCTTTGGGACACTGTAGTCCAGGCTGGTCCTGAACTCACTGATTCAATTCCGGCACCCACATGGAAGCTCATAACCCTCTGGAACTCCAGCCCTAGAGGATCTGATGTGCTCCTCTGGTCTCTGTGGGCACTGAATGCACGTGGGACACAGTCATACATGCAGGCAAAACCCCCATACACATCAAATGAAACAGTTTTAGTTGGTTTTTACCCAATTTTTAAACAAATTAAAGAATATAATTAGCATTAATTATCACAAGGTGGTATTTTTTCCTGAAAGACTATGTTATTATCTTTCTGTGATGGATATGTATTATTTTAGACATTTTAAGTGCATTAGCACAATATATTACATTATAAGGAATATTGAGTGCTCCCAGGAAACCAACTACTATGTATACTAAGTTAAAAGAATTAATTTTTAAAATCCTGGCTTTTAAAAACACGAAACATTTTGAGGCCGAGACTGCTAGTTTAGAGCGGTGTAGTTAACTGATTTTAACAAAGGTATGCTGCAGTTACCCGTGAGTGCCATCAGAGGGCGCCAAAGTAGGCCGCTGATATTTATTAGCAGAACCAGAGTGGCTGGATCCCAAGGCCTTTTTTTTTTTTTTTTAGCAGACTTAAAATAGGCAAAACTTCTCTGGATAGAATAAATGTTTGTTAGTGGTATATTTCAGTACATTTTTTCAACGTGCAAAAATTTAACAGTACCGCTTCCCTGAAGGTCAGATTCTCAGAAGTTCCGGAGATAATGTAGACGCTTAACACTTAACTCTAATTGTTAATGACCTCTGAGCTGTTAGGAAGGATCCAGACAAGGGGTAATGTTCGTTCATCGGAGTGGCCAGATGTCATGGGGCTTACCAGGATACAGTGTGGTGCAGCCCCCACTGCTGCTCTTCCTGACTCCTTCCTCCGCACACTCCTCAGGGTTTCCAAGGGAACACCACACTGGGAGGGAGTGGAAGGGGAGACGGGGCCAACCTGCTTCCTTATGACCCACACCTGTCCCACCACCCTGTGCTGGTGTAGAACTCTCTTCTAAAGAATGAGTGTGTTGCCGAAAAGCCTAGAAAATTCTAAGAGCTCCAAGCTGGGGAATCGCAAGAGACCATACTTGTCTGTAGAAGACAGGCCAGAATAGGATGTCAACACAGGCTGAGTCGTGGTCTGCGGCGCTGTGACGCCACTGTTTGCACTTGCACGTGGGTATTGCGACCAGAAATCCACATTGCTCCAACAGACACTTTCGAGGACTTTTCTCCCTTCCACTTGGGAAGAAAAAAATTCTGCTAGAGGACATGTGTCCTTCACCAACAGCAGCTGGTGGCCGCTGCTGCCAGCTCTAGGAATCCTAACTGTGGCAGAAAATTTTTTCTCTTGTAAAAAGCAGTGTGGCCATATTGAACTGCAGCATGGCGTGGGAGCGGGTGCTTCTGAGGGTCAACATTCCTCTGTAAGCAGATTGCGTCAAAAAATGGAGTAAACAGTTCAGTGAGAGAATCCTTTCTAAAACGTGACTATAGAGGTGTAGCATCATCTAGCTCAGAGGTCAGCATTGGAGATTGAATCCAACAGGTTGATGGCTAGGAAAATGAGGGTGAATCCTAATCCAGCCAGCAAATCACTCAGCTCAAAAGAAGAGACAGCCTCCATTGTCTCAGGCTGGACATCAGATCCTGTGCTGTTGAAATCGTTTCCAGAAACTAGGGTTCAAAGAGTGACATCATCATTCTAACTGTGTGTCATGCTCTTCCTGCAGCTCGACCATTATCCCTCCATGAGTTACCATCTGCCCAGCTCCTCTGACACGCTATTCAACTCTCCCAAGTCGCTCTTCCTTGGAAAAGTTATAGGTAAGTCCTCGGTTCTTCTGGTACAGGTGTGGTGTTAAAAATGTACCTGTCGCAAGTCTTCCGCGGTAGTAAGTGTGCATTTGCATTTTTAACTACAGAGCTCTCTCAGTGAGGTCAACCCGGGGCATCCCTGTACCAGGAAACCTAGGTGGTGGCTGACAGTGGTTCACAGGAGTGCTACAAAATCCTCTTCGGGGTATTGCTCCTGCGAAACGCTAATTACACCTGTGACGTGCGCTCTGATTAGCATGGAGGGCATCGTAGGCAGTGCCTGAAATGGAACTAGCATTATATGGTACCTATTATAAAGCAAGATGCAATTATCATCTCTCAGATTCACTTTTTAAAATTTGTTCTTTGGGATATTGAAGGCCTCTGCCTATGTACAACAACTAATTTAACTTCTTCCCTCTGAATCACTCCTAAGAAAAGTGTCTAATGTCATTTGCAGATTATAAGGTCATGAAGTAGAGGACTCATCCCCTACATGTGACTGCATTTATAACCACCCTTGTCCTCCCTTCAATATAAGAAATGGGAGTTATCTAGATGAAAAGACAGGTACTATTGCTCACAAGTATTTTTAGTGTTTTACATGAAGTCCACAAAATTTTTCTATTCTTGTGAGAGTGTCTGTCATGAAGTAGATGCCAGTGTCAGCATGAAGCACAGCCTACGTCTCAAGGGGGATAAAAGATCACTTATCCTGAGCCACATAGGCATGACCATGGCCAGATTGCCCCAAATCATATCCCAGTGTGGAAATGATTACACAAGCTTTTATAGTCACAGGACATGCCATAAATCAAAGCTCTTTTCAGACACATTGGTGAGACATGTTGATGGGTCACAGCAAGGCAGGGAACATCTGTTGTATGTTTTATCTGATGATGTTCTTAGCTTGAGGATCGTGAAAGAATTCGGAACTTCTACCTGAGTGTAAACATGTTAGGTGGACAATGAATGAATAAGAGGGCTGGAGACGAGAGCTTGGCTCTGGGTCTGTAACATTCCAACTGCCCCCAGTCTCAAGGTTCTCATCAGCCAACAAGCCTTTAAAATATTTTACATAGCTATGGCTTTCTTTCTGGGCACTTTAGTTCACAGTGGTAACATACAGACTGTCGAGAGGACACTGTTAATGCTATTTCACCAGGCCACTTTCCCCACTGTGCAGTAAGCCCATTTGGGAAGCCACAATGTTGTAAGGAGGGTGCTAGTTAGTTCCCAGCCACTTAGCCCCAAAATAATCACACAGACACTGTATTATTTAAATCACTGCTTGGCCCATTAGCTCTAGCTTCTTATTGGCTCTTTCTTCTTAATTTAACCCATCTCCATTAATCTGTGCATCACCACAAGGTTGTGGCCTACCAGCAAAATTTCAGCACATCTGTCTCCAGCAGTAGTTCTATGGCTTCTCCCAGCATTCTTCCTCCAAGCATTCTCTTTAGTTTTCCCCCTCTACCTCTATTTTCTGCACAGGCCCAAGACAGTTTCTTTATTAACTAATGACATTCACAGCATACAGAGGGAAATCCCTCATCACAAGTTTTTCGAAACTGAATTCACTCACACGGCAGCCAGACATGAGGGAAAGGAACCTCTGAAACCATGTGCACCTCCCCAAGATGAGGTTAGGGGTTTTCATAAGACAAGGAAACAGGGTATTCTGAAGCATGAGAGGAGGTGATCAGAGAGGTAAAGAGGGGTGAAGTGATTAGTAGCCTGCATATGCAAACACTGTCTTTATCGCTCCTCATAGAAGATATGTTCTGAAAACAGCCCTGATAGTGTGACCTGTGGGTGGAGTCTGGGGCCCTGTGATGTCAGAAGGTTGCCTGTCAATCACATATGCAGACCCAAAACACAGGGCGTCAACCAATGTGAGCTAGGCAAAGTTCTCTGGAAAACACAACCTAATCTGTCTTTACCAAGGTGACCTACTGTTAATCCCAAAGATGGGGGAAGAAAGACCACTGACCAAAATCATCATGGCTAAATTAATTAAAGCAATCAATTAATTTAAACAAGACTTTTTATTTGTGTGCACGGGCTGCCTCCCCCTAAGAAAGAGTTCAAGAGGTCAGCTTTAGATGTAAGGGAGACATGGTTTTTATAGCTCAGGGGTGGGAGGTTTCCAAATGGGAAATTTGACAAGCAAAATAGTCAGGGTTACAGGAACAGAACATAGCAAGGTGGTCAAAACAAAGCAGTCATAGCAAGAGAGTCGTAACAACCTTTTGAAACAAAAGTAGGGTTGCCAGCTGGTATTACAAGTTTTGAAACAAAGGCATGATAGCAAGGTGCTCATAAGGTGGTCACAGGTGACCGTAAGAACCTTTTGAAACAGTGGCATGGTTGTCATTTCCTGGCACATGCAGAGCAGAGCTGTTTGTAGTTAAGGTTAGAGATGGGGCATAGCCCAATCTTTTGAGAAACAGATTTAGTCATAAACAGGAATAAGCCTAGTTTGTCTTTACTATAACATGGCTTTCAAGCCTAAGATGGAGGCAGACTGGTTCATTACTGGCACGCTTGAGACAAGTAGAGTCAAGTCAGCAGGGTCTCTCATTTTACTATTTCATTATGAGACTCCTGGAACTACTGGGTAGACCGACAATAAAAGGCCAATGTCGCTGGAAGCTTCTTTGGGGTTTTCCTGGGTTCTAAAGAAAGAGCCTTCACTTGAGAGAGAAAACATCTCACACTTATTATAAAAAAAAAAATAGTTTCATTATGGAGACTTGGTTACATCAGTCAGAGAGCATTAATTAAAATATGGTTGCAAGGTCACAGCTTGAGGAACTGAACTGAACCTGTAATGAAAGTGATAATGGACATTTATATAGAATAGCACTTCAACTGTATTAACCCCCTTGACTTTCATCACAGTTCCAGGAAGGTGTTGAGATTATTATCTCCCTTCAGAGATGACAAAAACCAGGCACAAATATGTAAAGTAGCTGCCCACTGCCACCTGGATTACAAGTAGCAGAACCAAACTTGGAACCAGGCAGGAAGACATGAAGACAGTTCTTGAGGAGTGTGCTGTTGTCTCTGGGACAGGAAACATAGAAGTGAAGATGAGGAAGACAGATAACAAGAACTGATGGGGGATGGATGCAGGCTAAGGTAGACCAACCCAACAAGCATTGAGTTTTCTATAGCATACCTGAAAGTGGGAAAGATCGTTCTATAGAACCGGGAACATCCTGTTGCTCAGTGAGACAGAACCCACGAAGTGTAGAATCAGTGTAGAACCCACAAAGGAAAGGCTACATACTCCAGGTTAGTAGAAAGGGCAATTGATAGCAAAGGTGGAATTGGAACAAAAATGAGAGCTGCAGTGTATTGACTGCCAGGCCTTAGAGTTTTGTACAGTGTGTACAAATAACTAAGTAGCTACCCTTTAATCCCTTGTGCCCTAAAAATAACATGTTGGCATGGTGTCAAATATAGGTTTAACTACATTGTACTTGTGGGTAGCTCCTAGTAGTTTTCTGCATTTGAAAAATCTTATGATTTTATGAAACAAGAAGACAAATTTTGTGACATATCTAACGTTGTATACATGAACATGATGAGTAAATATTGTAACAACCCAATGAAACAAGATGTCATATTATCCACTCTCACACATGAGACTGAGGGTTAATCATCTGATGTGTGGGAAAATGGCTTTGAAGGCATGCTACCCTGATTGTGCCCTATCTCATTAGAAGTGGGCCCAGGAGAAACTGGCTCTCATCCTCACTGATCAATGAGATCCCTGTCGATCAAGACAGGAGCAATGCTGAATGAATGATTGTTGAACCAATAATCCTGAGAAAAGAATCACAACGAATGGCATTGGCACAACACATGAGGGTGACATAGTGGGTGGTGACACACAGTAAGGTCAACACAGAGAGGATGTCAGTCCTCACCTGGTTTGCAGCTCTGTCCTTTGTGGTGGGTTTTTGCTTGCTTGCTTGCTTTGCTTTGCTTTGCTTTAGTCAGAGATCTGACAATAATGAACTAAAAAGAATGCAGGCCTAAGAATCTGGCAGAGCTGGTTAGACTTGAGTGCAGGCCTGCCTGTGGAAAATAATCTTGGTCCTCTTGTGCTAATGCTTTGTGATTTAACCTCTGACGGTCTCAGTTTCCTCAAATATATCATGGAAAACTCACACGTCTGCCTCTGAGTTGTTAGTTCCCTGAGGATAACCCAACCCAACATAAACAAATGCTTCAGAATATTTGTTGAGTAAATGAACTACCATTTTACTATTAATCTCGTAACATCTGAGAGAGGGTTTATCAATCCTATTGCTTGAAATACAAATAATAAAAGTATTACCACTGTTGGATGCTGGCTGTGGGCCCACCATCTGATTATATGCTATATTTATAAATTCTTCCCAACACCACCCTAGACCTCTGCAGCCTCACCAGTCCCGCTCTCTAGATACAATTGCACCCTTAGACTGTGATGATCAGGAAGGGCTCCAGACACTACCATAGACAAAATCACCACCAGTTGAGAGCTCCTGGCTTAAAGAGACAGAGCTAATCCATGGGAAGATGGTGTAGGAAAAGCATGATGTTTGGTCCATGGCCTAGGCTCTGCTGCCTGGTAACACCTGCACTCTTAGGAACAGTGGGGACGCAAGGAGGACAGCTGGTGCAGGAAAACACAATTCTGCTGCTAGAAGCAAAAAAGTCAGAGTGCAAAAACAAAGGCTGTACGAGTGGCTGGGGCCCTGCTTTTTTACTACCTTTCAAGCTAGTAATCTTTAACTATGCCATCAGTACAGGCAGGACTCAGGGGAGTAATTCTAAATTTCCCTTTGAGCATAGTTCAGTGAAAAATGAACTATTTGCATTTTCCAGATAGATACGCATCTGAAAAGATGAGTTGGGCTCCCAACAGATATCTCTTGCACTCCAAAGGCTTGACAACCCCTAGCGCACCCTGCTATTCAGTTGTTTCCTTACTAGGTCAACTGCTAATCAGT